TGTTGTCCTTGGTGTCTTCCCTGGTGAACTTGATGTTTGAGTCTATGGTGTTTATATGGTCACCTTGCCACTATACTAGCACCTCTGGTTGGACATACTGACCACCACGTTCATAACTGAAGAATTTGCTTCTAAAGTAAGAGTCCTGAAACTGAATACAGATGAAACCATGATATCCTTTGATGTCATCTCACTCTTCACCAGCATCCCCATCACCGATGCCTTAACAGTGGTTAGGAAGAGACTAGAAGATGACAGCACCCTCGACAGGAGAAGCAACCTCAACCTGGACCAGATCTGCCGCCTCCTGGACCTGTGCCTCAACACCACTTACTTCACTTGCAGAGGTGATTTCTACAGACAGAAACATAGCTGTGCCATGGGTTCTCCCATGTTACTCATTGTTGCCAGCCTATACATGGAAGAAGTGGAGAAGAAAGCTCTCAGCTCTTTCCAGGGAATAACACCAACCCACTGGTTCAGGTATGTGGATGACACCTGGGTTAAAATCAGAGTCCAGGAGGTTCAGGCCTTCACAGACCTCAGACACAACTTGCCTCCCGGTGATTTCTACAGACAGAAACATAGCTGTGCCATGGGTTCTCCCGTGTTACTCATTGTTGCCAGCCTATACATGGAAGAAGTGGAGAAGAAAGCTCTCAGCTCTTTCCAGGGAATAACACCAACCCACTGGTTCAGGTATGTGGATGACACCTGGGTTAAAATCAGAGTCCAGGAGGTTCAGGCCTTCACAGACCTCAGACACAACTTGCCTCCCATTTTTCATGCTGCTCTTTCATCAGTCCCCAGGAAGATTAAGACCACTTCATAAGTTCACCAGGGAGGCAGCACTTAATGACCCACTTGGGGATGAGTGAGGGATTAGGAGCAAGATATCCACATCCCAAAGACTCTACTAATCACATCTCCTATTGTCCCTTCAATGAGCCCATCATGTTAGTGAGAAACGCAGCCCTCTGAAAGACATTTATGGGGTCCCCCCAACCAACTTTCTAGACTGAAGAAGCTGCTTGGACAAGCAGTGAAATGTATCAAACCAGAAGAAAAGTCCAGTTGCTATGACTCAACCTCCAGATAATTCCACCCAGATGACTGAGAATCTTCATCAACATAAGTACTATCAATATGCCCTGTGCTTTTGGCTTTCCCCAACTCCTGTCACTGGGAAGCCACATGTGTGGATTTTCCCTCTCGCATCACCTTCCTCCTATAGAGAATTTACTCTCCAGTCATTAACAAGCAGGAGTTTGTTACTGTTTCCTTACCTAGTGACTTGACCTTGGAAGTGTTGCTGAGATAAGCCCTCCAAAGGGGCATGTATGTGGAGAAGATTTATTTTAATCAAGTTATCATTGGCATAAAAATGCAATTTTTGCTGAGGGAATTGCTTGCTTATGCCCCCTTGTGAAAGTGGAGAACCCATTTTTGTCCTGAGATACATATTACCTCTTGGGAGGTTTCTGGGGCCTGCAAACTAGTGCACAAAGCGGGTGGGACAGTACTCCATGGATTTACCCATCCTCAAGCAATTCTCTCATTTCTAGGGTTAATGTCTCATTACTCATCTCCTCAATCAGTCCCCTTAAAGGTATTTGAGGTGACTGCAGCGAAAGGTAGCCTTTCCTTCCGTAGCAATTAGATTATTTTAAAGGCCCAACTGCTATGCAGAGATTTAAAGTGGTTTTGTGAACAAAAAGCATACTTAGCACTGACGTAGGAAAGCCATAACAGATTTAAAATATGAAAACAAGCACACATCAGTTTGTAGCTCAGACTCTTAGGCACTATTTATCTCTCTCTATTTTTAAGTAGGTTAAAACAAGATTATATGGGGGGTTTTTTTGTTAGAAACACCTAATCTACGCTGTGCCTATAAACATGTAGCAACATCTAGCTGACTTTGAGTGATCTAAACAGCTTAGCAAGCTTGGGTAGGACTTGGATGGGAGACTACTAGGAAATCCCAAGATTGTAAGCTAGACTGGAAAGTTGAAAAACATCCCAGAAGGAACCAAGAAGCCGCTTTGATATTCCTGGCAAGGAAACTGCATAGACAGGGTAATCAGAAGTCAAGCTTGGCCTAAGGAAGGTCTGTCTGTTTAATCTAGGTTGTAATAATCCATTTTGCAGTTAGGAAAGCAAAACAGAATTCCCATTTGTGGTTTGTTTAGGAACTGCTACAAATATATTCCATGTTCACCAAAAGGTAATTTATTACAATATTTCTTAATTACATTACTGTACACATTACAGATGATCAATAAAGACACTTTCATAAATTATTACTAATAAAAATTTACTTCAGAATTGTGCGTTAGGTATTTAGGCATA